TATGTTAGGCCTACAGTAGTAAAGTTGAAAAAGTGTGACACACTAAGATTGGCAATTATTATATAGATGACTTATCCACGATTTTAATAATGCAAGAGTTAAAGTTACAAAAATAACGACGAGCGACAACAAAAAAGAAAGTTTTCGCATTATACTTTCTGAATAAAATCGAGAATAATTAAAACTTTTTCACGATAAGAATATAAAATTATAATCGAATGAAACACTCATTAAAATCTTATAAATCTTCTGTATTTTCTCGGGTGTGTTATAAATTTTTTTTAATTAGCTCATGCGCATATCCGAAAAGCTAAATATACAATATACAATATAAAGTTCTTGTCAGTAAATGTGCCTATTATCTTCATATAATTGTCAGTGTAGAAATTCTCTAAATATCTTAGATGAATAATTCTCATTATTATTTTTTTTCTTTATGTACTGTTTTCTTTACTTTCGTTTAATTATTTTTTTCACTTTTAATTTGTGTTTTAAACCTACGGGTAGCGTTAGTGTTTTCAGCAGGAAAAATGAAATCGGCAAGCTGAATTTAAATTCAAATTCTCCGTTGGTTTCTCTTGGCATTAATACCATGGCAAAAATGCGCAATTACATTTGTTCTTTGTCTATCCATTTCTATGCGTTAAATAATAAAGAAGACTAGCTTCTCTAGCCTTTGTTGGTAATCAGTCTAGAAAAAAAAAAGAAAATCTCTGAATTCTAACGACGGGAAACTATTCCAATAACACAAGATAACAATTTATGCATATTAAAAGAAAAACGAATTTTTTGAGAGCCATAATCACCTGAAATGAAAGGGTATTACAAATATTAGACTTAATAATTTTAAGTAGTTCGAATTTATTATACTGTAGTGTAGTCATTATAATTTTAAACGCTTCCTTTCTTCATAAATATTTTCGTACTTTTTAATGAAATAAAAAGACGCATTGATTTATTAGCGTTACATAATCAATATGGATCGGGAGTTAAAAAGCTTTGAATGAGATCATAGAGTTCGCTTAACCTTTAGAGCCTGTCTGATATAAAGAGAGTCTTTACAGATTTGGCCATGAAAAGCAAGCGAATTTAAATGTTATATAATTACACTCTTCTTCATTTATTTCTCCTTGCCATTTATAGAACACTTAATGCTGTATCGGTTAAAAAAAATAATACACAAAAATATGGCGCAGCTTGAATAGGTATCAATTTAGTTAACTGGTTAATGGCTGTCGTCAAATCAATCAAGTTCATACATGACAGATAGGGCGGATAGAATAGGGAAGATGAGTCCAGCTTCTTTATTTCCAATCCATGATAATTATTTAATAGTTATAGAATATATAACGGAGTTGGTTCAGTGATTAAATGGAAACTAACGATAAAAATAACAACTAGTAAACTTAATCCTACATGAATTCATTTAAAGGTATTAAATGAATACTTTCGCATTGTTGGACATCATATAATTTTGCTTCTATCTATATCTCTGAGATAAGGTATTATGATTACTTGCATTATTTACATTATTCGATCTCTTATCCTCATCTTCATTGTCACAACGTTTCGGCCGTTGTACGCTCCGGAATTCTTCAGGTGATTGAAATTTAAATACCCTCTGTTGGTATGCAGTCGGAGATTCGTCTCCAGCTGAGAGTTTGACAAGCAGGTCAAACTCTCTGCCTCCGGGCAGAGAGGATTCCCAGACGAGGCTATGTCGAAGGGCAGAGTCTCATCTTGGGATACAGTACCCGACCCCGTTTTATACGAGGTCTACAGGGAATTTTTGGCCGAGCCTACAGGCTCGGATACCTAACATTAAACCCGGCCTTGTGTCACACATGACTGCGTGAGATGGTTGGTAGATATCCTGCAGTTGGAGATTCGTCTGGTCAGGATCCAAAGACGAAGGGCAAAGTCTCGTCTTGGGATACAGCTACCCGACCCCGTTTTATACGAGGTCTACAGGGAATTTTTGGCCGAGCCTACGGGCTCGGATACCCCACATTAAATCTGTCTCCTGCCACATCTGACCGCGTGGGACGGTTGGTAGATATACTGCAGTTGCTAACCTCCAGGAATATGAATTCACTTGACTCACTTCTAACAGTTCTTGTACGCCCCGCTGGCGAATCTTATATGTGTTGTTCTTGTCCTAAGTATTACCGTTTATTAACAACCTTCGTTTGATTATTCTATTCAGTAAACTTAAACCTAGCTTACAACACATAGTAAATAAGTCAGTGATAAAGAAAGAGGTATTTGTCTTGTTGGTAAGCTATTTCCCTGAACGACTGAACACCATTAGCTTCATCCGATGTTGCTCAGCATTCATCATTAAAATTACTTCATTAGAATTCCGTTTTCATTTACTTCTTTTCCCGACTTAGTGGTTTCTCTTTGTAATTATTGTGTAAATTTAGTATCTAGCTTAATTGAATGTCTTTGTCTGATTTCCTTAATATGCTCTGTGGAGATTTGCAGCACCATTTTCTTTAAATGATTTTATGCGAATTAATCAAACATTCTAGTCTATAATCTCTTAATTGTTCTCGGATCTTTGTGCAATTATCTCAATGTCAGTTTGAAAGAAAGAGTCTTTAATCAAAAATTCGATAAATAATTTTAGTATTGGAAATCCATGAAGTAATATGAAATAATCATAAACAAGGCTTATAATAATAATAATAATAATAATAATAATAATAATAATAATAATAATAATAACAGACAGAAAAATTGAAGCAAATAGGCCGGACATTATTGTCAAAAACCAGAAAGAAAAAACTTGCCTACTAATTGATATGGCTTGTCCAGCGGATTGTAACATAGCAACCAAGGAATTTGAAAAACTATCAAAATACAAAGACCTGGAAATTGAAATAGAAAAAATGTGGAAATTGAAAACAAGAATAATACCAGTGGTAATAGGTGCACTTGGAATTATAAAAAATGGAACAAAACAACACATTGAAAGAATCCCTAAAACCCCAGCTTAAGAGACATACAGAAAATTGTCTTATTAAGTACAGCAACACACTAAGGAGAACTTTGTCTATGTAACGCTAAATCGGAGATAAAAAAAAAAAAAAAAAAAAATTAACATGAAATGTGGCCATAACAACACACCACGACCTGCCTTAGGTCTTTCCGCAGACTTGGTAGGTAGTGTGTCCATAGCAGAAATCGAATGATGATGATGATGACAATAATAATAATAATAATAATGCTGACAGCAATGTATCTTTGAAGATATTCAAAAGCTGTCAAAATACAAGGACCTTGAAACAGAAATCTCGAAAATGTGGCATATGGGAACATCAACAATCCCTGTTGAAGTTGGAGCCCTAAGACTGGTTGGAAAAGATTGCAGTAGACTAATTGAAGGGATTCCTGGAAGTGCATGCCTAAAGGAGATACAAAAAATTGTTCTGACAAGTACAGTCCACACTTTACGAAAGGATTTATCTATGTAATTTTTTTTTTTTTTTTTTTCAGTGGAAAGTGTCATGACGCCATTTCTAACCTTAGGACCCTGGGCGGGACCCGGAAAGAAATGTGTAAACGCCAGAAATCAAAGAAAATAAAAAAAATAATAATAATAATAAAAATATATATAATATATATGCAATTTAAGAAAGATCACAATAAAAGAAAATACTTTTTGTATGTGTAATCTTAATGTTTGTTTTTGTTTAATGTACAGTGTATAATTAACTTTCTGCGTCAGTTGAATGTTCGTTTATTGAGCAGCAAGTGTTAGATTCATTGCGCAGCTGTGTGTTTTCTGACCGGTTGGTTTGAAACTGCTATCAGGATTGCTGTTCACTTGACTGCTGATGGCCAGACAGCATGTGTTCTCTTTTAATATCTATCTGGCTGCCTAGACAGACTAGGACTTTAGCGTGTGGGCGATTGCTGTTTGTATGGAGGTTGTCAGCGTGGGTGTTTGCATGTTTCTATGGACTGCTCCTGCTTGTTAGTTATGATGATTGAAAAAAAAAAAAAAAAAAAAAAAAAAAAAAATGATTTTAATCATATGTATGCTATACAATTATTTTTATAGTTTCTTAAATTAGGGATAATGTCCCTATAAAATTTTCTTTCTTACATTGATATATTTTAAAATATTTTTTAATGATTATCTTACTCATATTTTTTAGATTTATTTATATTTAATTTTGCTTCTTGGTTTTACACTTTTCCTCATCGTCCTTTTCTTCTTCTTCTTCTTCTTCTTCTTCTTCTTCCATCTTCTCCTCCTGTCGCTTCGTCATTTTCTGCTTCTTTCTCATTTTTTTCTCTTCACCTCATGTCTCTTTTTTATTTTCTGCTACCTGTTCTTGTTCTTCTTCTTCTTTCTTTCATTCCTTCTTTTCCTCTTCTTTCTGGTTCCTATTTCTTCTTAGCTTTTCTTTATTTTCTTCTCCTTTTTCTTCCTATTTTTTCCTTATTTTCTTCTTTTTCTTCTCCCCCCAACCATCAACGCTCACTTATTTTCTTCTTCTTCTTCTTGACTCTTTATTTCGTCTACCAGCACTTTCTTCTTCTTCTACTTCTTCTTCTTCTTCTTCTTCTTCTTCTTCTTCTTGGACCTTCCTTACACTTACGTTTTCTTCTTCATTATATACATTTCGCTCTTCTTCTTCTTCTTCTTCTTCTTCTTCTTCTTCTTCTTCTTCTTCTTCTTCCTGAACCTTACTTACGTTTTCTTCATCATCTTATATTTTTTCTCTTCTTCTTCTTCTTCTTCTTCTTCTTCTTCTTCTTCTTCTTCTTCTTCCTTCGATTTCTTCTTCTTCTTCCTTTTTAATTTATTTTTAAATGGATGCCTTTGTTTTTTGTAATTTTTTATGCTCCTTGTTCTCCATTATTTCTCTTCTTTAATTTTATTCGTATTTTGTTTTCCTTTCACCGTCCTTCATTTTCTCTTCTTTCCCACTCTCTCTCTCTCTCATCTTTAATTACTCTCTTTACTCTCTGCTTTCACATTGTAGCTCTCCGGGATGAAAATGGCCAGTATTTGCTAAACGGTGATATCAACACTAAATATCCCAGTGTGACCAAACTTGTGTCAGGAGCTATTTTTTATTATCATCATGCCGTCTACAATGTCAAGGGACTTGAAACACTTCATGCTGAGGGTCCAATCAACAGCAGCCTCGCTGTAGTGGTAAGTAGCCAACATATTTTCATTGGAGCATCTCGAAGTATGACAATATATATATATATATATATATATATATATATATATATATATATATATATATATATTGAAAAAAAAACGCTAAATATCAGTAATGCACCTAACATATTCACTCGTACGGATATGAGTTTTTTTAAATCTGGGTTTCACGCTAGAAACCCAGCATTACAAACTCGTATCCATACGATATATATATATATATATATATATATATATATATATATATATATATATATATATATATATATATATATATATATATATATGAAGAGAATGAATATAATAAATTAAAGTAGATTTAGCTTGAATTTTAAAGAAACGCGAAATCGAATTGGATTCAATGTTTGGCTAATGTAGATTGTTTTAATTCACAATAATGAACTCATGAAAAGGCATGAATTCTCATATTCTCATATCCCTATAGATTAGGACAGAGAATACAATCGATGCTGGTAAGTGGTAACCTCTTTTAACCTTGAGGATGATTAATCGTTTCTCAACCTTCAACCACTTCCTCCACAGAAAAAAAAAAAAAACTGTACTAGCCTCCCGCTAATTCATTGTTAGTTTCCTGGCAGTTGATCGGTGAACTAATTACCTTGCTTCTTCAGATGTTCACACCTAGGACCCACCAATGAACAAATCATTGCTTTAATATTCCATCGGTAAGGAGGAAGTTCCAAACAGTTTTTCAAAAAAAAAAAAAAGAAAACTCTTTCATTGTGGAACAAACTCCTGAGATTATGCTTCCTAGATCGCTAAAATCTTAACCTCTTCATGTCAAATGCCAAGCGTCTCCCACATACCATCATAATATACACCTATTGTCTCCTCCGTGTACGCCCTCACAAAAATCATTTGGTAACCCTCTACCTTGAGTGACTTTTCGGTATATTATTGGGTAAGCAATTGCAAAAAGAAAGAAGAAAACTTTATATGTTATTTGAAGAGAAAGTCAACGCTGAGTCAACTATGTTGCCTAGAAAAATCTTTGACGAATCAATTATCGAATCTCACTGATCAATCTGGAACCAAGGGATTTGAAAGGTCTTGGTAAACCATGAATATATTTCTCTTAATATATCATGTTAAAGATTTCTTCCAGCCCCTAGTATCATGTAACCTCGTCAAAACTGTCGTTTCTTGAAAAGGAGATTGCTAGCACCAGGCAAATTTTGTCCAAATTACCATGAAAAAGTCAGTATTCTTATTCAACGATTACCTATATCATATTATAATCGCTTTGAATGAAAAACATATTGATAGCTTACTCGGGAGAGTGCAATTTGTGATATATACAGAGATAATCAGAAATGCTTCCCACATTTTAAAGGTAGACAAAAACAACAAGCTAATTGCTATAAAAAAAGAAGAAAATCATTGTTGTTTAAACAAAAGGCTACATTTTTTTTATTTTGGATGTAAAAGTATCATCCTCTAAATGGTAACCTCTATTTGCCATACACTGTTGTAGACGATTTCTATTCAAACGGATGTCCGAGTGCGTCGAAGACTTCGAGGTGTCTTTCTTTTAACCGCTGAACTTGTGGCCTTGATATTGTCAAACGGTATTGATTTTCTATCCGGAAAAGCATCATTCAGATGTGACATGAAAAGTGCACAAAAACGTTCTGTTTTTCTGTTGAAATTTCACGTTTAAAAAAACGGTTTCAACGGCAAACGCAGTGCGCCCTGGTCCAGTCCATTACGGTAACTGAAGGTATCTGAAAAAAAGGACATTAGCTCGATGAAGACACCATTGTCACTTGCTTGAGTTCACTAGTGGCTTATTACCACATCATGTTGAAACAACACACAATCACAGAAATTAAGCAATGTCAAGCCTGGTCATTGCCTAGATGGGTGACCAGTTGGGAATACTAGGTGTAGTGAACTTGAAATTGCGGGTTGTGTGAAGGATAATGGCTCGGAATCTTTAACCAGGAGCTGTGTTCCAATTCGTGTTTACGTGGACATACCGTTGCGAAAGGTATGAATCTACCTCATCTCCCCTCAATTAAAACAATTCTTACAATCTAAAAATAAAAATTCTGGCATTAAATAATCTGCGATGTGTTGAAAAGCAGTAGAAAACGAATCAATCAATAAATAAAAAAATGCCGCAGTGCACAGGAGTCAGGGTAAATTGTGCCACACCCTTTATTTTATTAGCACAGAATTCAATATGCATGAATAAATTATTATTTCAGTGTAAAAAATAGGGTCAATCCCGCTCTATAAATTCTTTTTTTTTTTCACTGGGTTTGGTTTGGTTTTACAGCATATGAACCTCAGTGGGTTATTTAATGCCGACAAAAATGTTGGCATTAAATAACCCACTGAGGTTATATATATATATATATATATATATATATATATATATATATATATATATATATATATATATAAATATACTATAGGTTATATATATATATATATATATATATATATAATATATATATTATATATATATATATATATATATATATATAATATATATATATATATATATATATATATATATATATAATATATATATATATATATATATATATATATATATATATATATATAATATATATATATATATATATATATATATATAAATATATATATATATATATATATATATATATATATATATAAATAATATATATATATATATATATATATATATATATATATTACTGTTGAAACTTGATAAGCATGGAATAATAATAATACAACACAAATGTACGTAAACAAAATGTATTGAAACAAGGAAAAGGTACACAATATTTACAGTTAGTTTTGGTATATTCTTGGGAAGACTGTTCCTGCAGAATGGGTTGACTAAATCGCAGTCGGGCAGAGTCTCTGGATTCGATCTTTTCTTACTTCCCGGTACCAACCCATATTTATATGGTCGGTACTCCACTTATGTAAATTAGGTGTATCGTACCACAACAATTACCTGTAATACATTTTTGAAAAAAAACATTTTTTTTCAAAAATGTATAGCTGGTAATTTTTGTTTTGCAAAGTATTTTTGGTATTAAAACCTTCTTTTACACTTTCATAGTGTTTTGACACCAGTTTGGGAGTTAAATATTTGCCCATAGCTGGGAGCTAAAAATTGCTACCACACCCGGATCAAGGTGGTCCTGGGAACAGCAGCAATTAAGAGGTGCTTCCACGTTTCTAAAAACCGCATGGCTGTTGGACGTAGTTTATCGTCTTGCCCAGGTCGCAGATGTAGTTTATCGTCATACACAGGTCGTTATCCACTGAGTCTGTTAACCTTTCTATCATTTTAATTTTAACATTATTTACAACGAGTCGTATTCCTGCTATAGATATATTTATCTATCCTTTGTTTTCGATTTTGAAATTTAAAACAAAAATCGGCATTTCATATTAATCGAAAAATAAATTAAATGGTGTTATGTATAATCAAGAGTAATCTCCCTTTGTTTTGTTCATCTCGTCTTTGATAGAGCTATTTCTGCTTACTGGGACACTATATACAAACCTTGGGGCTCCTCGAGGCGGTGTTATGTTAGCAAGCTTGTCTCGCTAGAACAATTACAACTGAGTCGTGAGTTCGATCCTCACTAGGTGCCCCATACTTTCGGCCTTGTGCCACATCTAAGCTACGCTTAGAAAATCACTATATACGAACCTTGTATTCTCACTTGAATAAAGTTTTCTTAAAGCCTACACCTGCGTACATTTGTCATTACAAATTGCTTGCAGGAATTAAAACATTAACTATTGTAAAACGTTATCTTCATATATTATATCTAATTCTTTATGTAAACGATGATAATGACGAGTTTGATCTATTTAAAAAAATAGATGACAAGACAATAATTTGATGCAATGAATACTTTTCTAGTTACACAGTAAAGCGTATTTAGCAACAGACTATAAACGCTTTTACTCTAAAATTGAACTGAATTCATTAAACACATGAAAACGGGACTTCAACATGGTGTCATAGTTAGCAAGCTTGTCTTGTTAAATCAGCTACAATTGATTAATGAGTTCGGATTCTTGTTGAGTGTTGCACATATTCAGCTTAGCGCCGCATCTTAAAATACAATTTTGGGCACCTTGATGTGGTTAGCAAGTTGTCTCGCTAGAATTACAATAGTTGTGAGTTCTATCCTCAGTACTATTGTAGTTCTAGCGAAATGCAAAACCTTAAACAGACAAAATAGCGTCGAATTTTTTTTAATTCGATTGGTCTATTCTGACCTAACACCCATATTCACCTGTCCAATCACTAACCCATAATTATTTTTTTTGGTCGATTCAAAAAATTTGATGGCCAAAATTCTCTCCAAAACAAAGCAAAAAAAAAAAAAAAATAACAAAAAAACAAAAAAAAACAAACAAAAAGATTTCGCATGAAATACCAGAGGAATTTAATGAAAATATATGGAAGCTCTGCTTGTTAAGTAACAATAAACTACTGAAAATAATGGTGTGTATATAAATAAATGTAATGGAATTGTACTTTATTTTTGAAGAATAAAATTGATAACCAAAAACCGAAATTATTTATGGTTCAACCTAATATAAATTCATTAGGATTTTATTTTTACTATTGAAATTAATTGGAAATGAATTTGAACCTATTTTTATGCACTCTTATCGAAAATTTTATTCAAAATGGTGATTATATCTATAGTCACTCAACAAATACAAAAGTCAAATATGGAAATACATTATAAATGATTTTAGTTTTGGAAAGCATTGCAAATCATTAACTCTTGGAGCACTTCATTCCTGAACAGTTTTAAACCTTCTGTCTGAGCTCCTGAGGTGAAATTTGCAAATAATTGGTATGCAATGTTTCACGGTAGATATAGAAATACTTACAAGTGTTTACCCGCGTTTCAACTGCTGGCTGGGCATTACGTCATTTTTCTCTACCACTGGCAACGCGGTGGACAGAGCACAAGGTGTAAAACTTTCATTCGCACACATTCTATACTTATTTGTTGTTGTAAGCACACGCTCGCATTCGAACATCGGGATCGTCATCATCTCTCCCTAATCTCCTTTCACTTGCCTGATGGCGGTGATGGTGATGGCTGTGAATGAAAGAGTTTGACGAGGCCATACGCGTAAATTTCATTTTGGTGGACAACTCCGCACGACGCAGAAGCCCACGCACTTGGCCAGAAGCACCTCCTTCACGACACAAAATGCAATGAGACACGCGATACATGGCAAACGGGCTTTTGGATGCTTGACCTATCAAGGTGCGTCAGGGTTACGACAGATGGGTTGGCGCAGTCCTCTTCCGCCGGTTTAACCGTGTTAATATTTGCCAATTGCGCTGTTGGTGTCTTCGTGGGGTTGGTCGCATTCATTCTAGCCCTTCCTCTTCGACAAAACCACTATTGAAACTCCAGACGACTTCGCTCTAGGGATAACTCAGACAAGTAAGCCCTCTACCATGGCAAAGAAACGACAATATATACTTTACACTGGATGTCGTTGGGGTCTTAGTGAGGTTTGGTCGCGTTCACTTTAGCCCTTCCTCTTCGACATAACCACTATTGGGACTCCAGACGGCTTTGCTCTTGGGATCACTTGGGATCACTGGGATGAGTAATCCGTCTACCATTGTAAGGAATGATAATATATACTTTACACTGGATGTTGGAGCGAATAGTTCGTTATTAAATGTGCGATTTTAATCTATTTACCTGTATAATGACACAATGAATTTTCACCTTTGTGTCCCACAAGTTTTTCATCTTTCTTTTGATGTTTAAATATGTGAGCACATTTTTTTCTTATTAGGTCTCAATGTTCATTTGAAAGAGTAAAATTCAGTAACAAGCAAATTATCTTTTACTTGATGTATATGTGATGTGTTCTTCTACTATCGGGGATTCGTTTGACTTTCGAAATAAATGAAAAACTTTCTTATATTCATTTATTTAGGGATTAAATTGCAGTTCGTGAATATAATACGCATTTTAATTCTAATTTAGCGTCAGGATAATTTCCTGGTTTAGAACATCTATTTTCTGTCCTCAAGGGCACATGTCACAGTGAATAATGGCGTTGGTTAAATCCAGTGACAGGACCCAAATAGTGTGAGCTTAATACCCGGTTATGGCAGTGTAGAACTTTGAAAAGGGGAATTAAGTGGAGATAATTGATAACTGACATCCATTAGACATGGCACGTGGAACTAGAACAGTCTGCACCAGTGAGCGAAATAAAGGGTTCAGTTCAACATTCCAGCCACATGAAGAATGCCGGAGCGTACAACGGCCGAAACGTTGTAATAAATATGGCGACAAAGATGAGGACAATAGTCCGAATAATGTGAACGACTATTTTGCCTGTTGTTGGTTTTACGTGTATCATTTGAACACGGCTCGTGTAGACATACTTCCCGGTTTAATGTTCCGTCGATAACCTGTATGCTAGACACGTATGCGCATTTTTTTGCTAAGTCAATTTTCAATAGATGTATATATATATTTTAAATGAATATATATATATATATATATATATATATATATATATATATATATATATAATCATTTTCAAAGCATATATTACAGGACTTACCAATGAAATGCTGTATACGTTTTTATTATTTGCTGTGCCATTGTGTATGTAACCGTTAGAATGAATTGTATGTTTAGCAAACAAGACTTGTGGGAGACGACCAACTAAATCCAATATTGAAGAATCACCTGGTCAATTAAATAAAACATCATACTCATGTGGTCTTGACAATGAAGCAGATATATGAAGCGACGCGTAAGAATCTATCAAACGTGTATTAACTGCGGACCTATGTTGAAGAGTGTGGATTAGGGCAGGCGTCCGTGTCATACTGAGGGACGTTCGTAAGAACAACACCGGTAACCCATCCATGAAATGGAATCAACTGGCCACATGCAAGCCGTGGCCTGTTTGTGAAAAACGCTTACAGAAGGTGATAAGAATATAAACATGCCACAGTAAATGAATAAAATTATATGACAAAATTCTGGTTACTTACCCCCCGCCCCCGTATAATGTTAGTGATACCGGATAAGCAGTTATTTTACTGATCTTAGTTGTGGACAGACAGACAATATTTAGTCTAATCCAAGTTTATACATTATAAGAAGCGTTGGATTTTTATAATTAGATGAATTAAATGCTGTCTTTTACAGAGTTTATATAAGAAGCGTTGATTTTTGACAATTAGATTCATTAAATATGTTTTCTTTTACAGAGTTTTACCCCCGAAAAAAAGACCGTTATCCGATTAAAATTTGAATACGTCTTACCAATAATAAACAATACATTCCATCAAAAGAAGCAAGAGAAAGAATATGAAGCTCTGAATGCGCCAGACAATTCCGAGCCCACCTATTCTTGGCAGACCCTTTTGTACAGTCAGGTGTTATTTGGACACATTCCATCGAGTTTACGCAACCAATTACTCTCATCTACCGAACAAAGCCCAACGACACCTCCAGCACCCATGCCAATGCAAGAGGTAGCGCCTCCACCTATTCAGTTCTCGTCGCCGTACGGAAAAACCGTCGATCGTTCTTCACAGGGTAAAGATTCTCGAGTCCTTGTTCGTCCGGAGATTAGTTCATCTAAACGACAATTACCTCCCGCTGCAATGCCAACGCCAGAGAAGAAAATGGAATCACTGGCGGTGGATGGACCTTACCGAAGGGAAAAAGATGGTCGTAATCTCAATAAGGGCGACTCTCTTTGGAAGCAAGAACCTATTGATTATTACCGGCGGTTCCCCGAAACCCACAAGGGTTTCGTCACACATACACCTCATATCCCGTTCACTTCCGGGCGCTCGTCTGCCGTGACGACCCCGCGCGCCTCCATAAAAAAACAGCGAGAAAGTCGCAAGCACATATTTGTAAGAATTGTAGCTCCTTCAGTGTCATCAACTACTAACTGGAGAAATGAAGGCAGAAGATCGAGCTCACCTAATGGTAGATCAAGCGAGGAGGATAGTGTTAGCCGGCAACCAAAAATCGTGTCTGAAGAGGACGGGGTTCAAATCGAGAGAAATCAAACTGTGAGGAATTTTCAAATTCAGAAGAAAGGATTTCCGATATTTCTTTCAGCTATAACCAGAATCCAAGACGATCTAGATGAGTACCAAACACAGGATACACGATATACGAATCGAATCAGTGAGTATTCTAATATTCTAGAATATTTTATTTTAGCTCATTTTTTTCTGATGAAGCGCTATATCTTTAACATAATTTGAAATAATTCCCAAATACTATATGGAATATTGACCAAAAATTTCATTCGGTTTCTTAAGTAAATTTAGTAAATTGATGTTATAGTATAGTATACCTACCAATTTGTTCCACTATTTACTGTCATCTCTTATTTTCGAAAGACGTTGGTTGGACCAACAAGTTCGTTCGATTTCTTAACAAAATTTTCTATCAGGTCATCCCATAAGTTCTGTCCGAATTTGAATTGTTTTTTAAAATTGAACGAAATTTAAAGAGTATTTTATAATGTCTAATGGAGCTGAACATTATTTTTATGTTTAGATGCATTTAAACTGATCAAATTTTATTTCAGAGAACAATAAAATTAAATTTTGTTTGATTAAAACCCTGCTAAAATGGAAGTTCCCAGGAATCATTTGAGGCAGATAATGCTTTATGAGTTCAAGAAAGGAAACTCAGCAGCCGAAGCGGCTAGAAACATTCACTCAGTTTATGGAGAGGAATGTGTGAATGAAAGAACTTGCAGAAGATGGTTTGCAAAATTCAGAGGTGGAGATTTCACCCTTGAAGATGAAGATCGAACCAGACGTCCAGTTGAGTTTGATGAAAAGCTTATTGAAGCAGCTCTTGAACAAAATCCTGCTTTATCAGTTGAGGAATTGACAGTGGTTCTCAGCTCAAACCATAAAAGTGTTCATCGTCATCTTCATCAACTTGGAAAATTTCCGAAACTTGGAAAATGGGTGCCACATGAATTGTCTGAAAACAACCTCAAATCCCGTGTTGACATCTGCACTTCTCTCCATTCTTGCCAACTTGTTTCACCTTTTTTGGATAGACTTGTGACTGGCGACGAAAAATGGATCTTTTATCGAAATGTTAAGCGTCTTAGAGAGTGGCTTGGTAAAGGGGAAGGACTCCAGCCACAGGCGAGAAGGGAACTTTATGGGCAAAATGTTCTTCTTTCAATCTGATGGGATCGCCAAGGAATAATCCACTTTGAATTCTTACCACCTAATGCAACAATTACTGCTCAAATATAATGTCAGCAATTAGAGCGTTTGAACCAAGCTTTGGGGAAAAAAAGACCTGCTCTAGTGAATCGAAAAGGGGTGATGTTTCATCAGGACAATGCGCGACCCCACACAGCAAGAATTAGGTCACAAAATATCGACCTTAATCTCCCGATCTTGCTCCTTCAGACTACCATTTGTTCGTAGCTTACAGAATCAGTTGGAAGAAACAGGTTTTGTAACACAGGAAGAGGTTAAAACTGACATTTGTGAGTTCTTCGAATCAAAGCCAAAAGAATTTTACAGTTATGGAATTAGTAAGCTTGTTAGTAGATGGAAGGAAGAGGGAAAATACATTTTTGATTGAATCTGTAATTAAATGTAACATTTGGTAACTTGTTTTCTTTATTCAAAATTCGGACAGAGCTTATGGGATGACCTGATGAATTCAGGTTATAATACACAATATCTACTAATGTGTTCCACTACGGTCATTTGTCTTTCAGATGTTTCAGGATTTTCTTCTTCCCTAACGACAGCTATCTCAGAATGTTCTTCTTGCCTGAGGACAAGTTGTTATAGTAAACTAGGAACTTGAATCCTAACAGACAGCAAGACTATTTTGAAGGCTCAAAATTCACTACTGAACAATGGCCTGGTGGATTACAGCATTGTTTTGTGAATTTGTCGACATAGTATTTGTGAGTTCAATCGTTGGGTCGGACAGCGTGCGCTTGCACTAAGTGGAAACTGAACATTACGAAATAAAATAAGAATTACCCAAAATATCCCTAGATATGATCAGTGGAATGAGAACAGTCTATACTATAGGTTAAATAAAGTGTTCGGCTAAGAATTCCGTGTAGATTACCAGATCAAAATATACCTGAGCAAGGGCGGAGGGCACAAAACGTTGTGATAACAACAACAATGATGAGGGCAACTGTCCGAATATTAATATGTAGCATTTTCTAACTGGTTTCCAAAGAAATATGGCGTTCAGTCTTAAACGGTTTCTCAGAAATAATTCTGGAAATTTTGTATATATTGTTCACTTCCTTACTTGTTCGAGTCCTTCGTCTGGTTTTTTGAAAGCAATTGTCGTATTGTTTTTTCCAGGATCTCTTTCAAACATTCAGAAGATGGAAATTAAACCATAGGCATATATTGGATATTAGCGTATCTTATTTCATAGATATAAAATAACAGTGTGTAGTAAACCATGTGGGACGCCGGCATTGAGCTAACAAAGGATAAATATTTTAAAGCAAACAAGTGAAAAATAAAATTAAAAAACTACTCTTGAAAATCCGCAAATATTTTAAGGTAAAAATTGATATAAATTGTTTCAGTAAAATCTATTACCCATCAAGAATTTAAGGTTTAATATATACCTAGCCTGTAAAAAAATACCTGGAAAAATACGCTTA